TATTACAAAAATAAGTTAAATCATTTTTTCGTCTCCATAAATGCCCTTTCTTGCCATCACTTATATGCACTGTTGGCTTTGCATAGTTATGTACAAATATCCACAAAATAAAAAGTAACAATGAGGCAATGAAAATAATTAAAGGTTCCATTCGAATTGAAATTTTCTTTCGATATTTTGATGAGAATCGAAACTGAACGATAAAAGGGAAACTTTGCTGTATTGCCAAATTTTATAAAAATGAGAACAATGTGAAAATTGAAACATTCAACATTCTTTGAGGAAAACAATAACAAAAGCTAAATTCCTTTGAATTTTCATTTATTTATCAATAAAAAAGAATTTTCAATGTTTTTATCTAATTAAACAACTGAATTTGTGCTCATTCGAACCATTCCATCAGTTATAATGTCAATAGACTTCAGATCATTATTTATTGTTTCAATTAGAAGTTCCATTGCCCGTTGTTGCATCGTTAAGAAATTTTCCATCTCATCTGCTGAATCTTTATCTAATGTATACTCACTGGTACCTGCTGATGACCATTTAGTTCTTTGCATTCGCATTTGAGACAACAACTCGCTTAATTTCCCTCTAAATTGTGTCGGTGCTGAGACTAAAGCGTGCATATTTTCCAATTTTGTTTTAATTGTTTCTTCATCAATCGTTAAAGCCAATCCAACTTTTCTTGTACTCTCTTGCTTTACAATAATTCGTAAAATTCTGTGACTTAATTCAGAAAACTTTCGACGATGTTCCATAACTTTTGCTGTCGTGTTAATGTGACGTTGTTTCAAATCACAAATCTCTTTCTCAAGCATGGCCAAATAAGCAACTTGGTTGGCAGTTTCATTTTCCTGACATGACAATCGTGTTTTTAATTCACTGAAGCCAACAAGTGGAACTGGAATGAATGTTTTCGAATCAGGATTGTCAGCAATTGCTTGTCGCCACATTCGATGATCAATTCCTTTCGGGGGCGCTTCCAAATATTGTTTCAGTTGATCTTCATCCGGTGGTGTCATTGGAAAAACTTTCTGAATTCCAAGATTTGTAAGTTGATATTTCAAATTGGCTTGACACAAATAAGCTGAAGTTTCGTTCGCTGAAATTCGTTTCGTTTCATTTGTATTTTGAAGTTTCTCTTCGATATAAATAACAATTTGACATGAATTGTCGGTTAGTGCTTTCATGCTATCAATGTGAATCATCATGTTGGGACGATTTCCAAACAACTGATTCAACTTTTGAATGAGATCTTGTTGTTCTTTAACTTGAGCTAAAGTTTTGTTAAATTTAACAACCACAAAGCCCAATTTGTTGTCTTTCCCAGGTAAACGACTGTAGCCCATTGCTTTAAATCGACACAAATAATTCTGTGAATTTATCTCAACTGGTGGCTGTGACTGAGAATAGAAAGCCTTTCCTGTTCCCAGAAGAGCTTGAAGGTAATTCCACCGTGCTAACGTTGTGTCTCTTTCATCGCCATAAATTGAAACATTAAAAATTGAATTGGAAAATATTTCATCGGGTGACAATCCTTGAACTTGTTGTTGTTGCTGCTGCTGCTGTTGTCCAAATCCTAGTGTCGTATTCATACCACCAGCCATGCCAGTATTTGCTCCAAATGCAGGAGCAGCTGCAGCTCCGAATCCACCAAAGCCAGTATTTCCAAAAAGT